AGGTTGTGATTTTTTATTGCCAATCAACCTCTTCTTACTTGGATTGTTTATAATCTTGTATTTCCTTTCTTTTTTAATGTCGAAAGTTTTTAATAAAATGGTTTTTTTTTTCTATGAACTACAGTTAAGAACTGACATTATTTGTCCTATAAATGTGATAAAGAACAAATAATATTAAAATGAGTGTAACTAGTTTTTGACAAACTATAATTTAATAGTATAATTTAGGGTTACTTTTAATTTCTTAATTGATTTTTGACGAGAAATCACACAAATAATCCAAAGCTATTTTGTAAGCAGATATTTCATATAAGATTTTTATGTGAAAATACGTTTTTTTGTATAAATATGAGTTTATAAAGAAAAAACATATTAGAAACAAATTTTTGAGAAAAAAAGTTGTAAAAAAACTAAAGTTAGGATGCTTTCATAATACAATTCTAAAATTTGGGCAAAAATGGTAAATTTTGGACCAAATTTATAACAAAATTTAAAATCTAGGCCAAAAGTCTAAATTTTCAAATTTGTAATAAATTTTGAAATCTGGGCCAAAAATATAATTTTTGAAAGTTGGATGACCTGTTGACCGGGTCAAAGGGTTAAATTGAATACGATTACCGGTATTTGAGACTTAATTGAATAAAAAAAATATATAAGTACTAAATCGATTATGAGACCAATATGTAAGGACTTTATTGCAGTTTTCCCTTTATATATCACTATATAATTTCCTCTATTTTTATTGATTATTTAAGTTTAATAGGTTAAAACAAGAATCTAACTTAGACCAAGCTTAGGACTAGGACAAAAAGGAAGAAAGTATGATACAAGACTTAATACTCGTAGTAATATTTTAGTACTTATCAAGTTTTTGTTTTAATTATAATTAGATTTTAAAGAAAAATAGATTAGAACTCATTTTTTTAATTGCAAACCTTAGAAATCCTCACAAATGATTTTTCAAATTTTTTAGAGAAAAAAAAGACGTGCAAACGCTTTGAGATATAGTCTTCTAAAAACATTGTTCAAAACGTTTTTGCGTGTCTATAAACAAAATAGACAAATAAAAATTATACAAAAACACAAAACACCACCTAAAGTAATGACCTAAGAGGATAACGAACTTTGAGTTTTGTCCAAATTAGGTAACCATGTTTTTTTCGTACACATTTGACCAGTAAACTTGTTTGGTCTGTTCAAAATAAGGTAATATTACTGGTAATTACCGGTGATATTACTCTATTACGAACATGTCAAACAAGTTAACTGGTCAAATGTGTACGAGTACAACATGGTTACCTAAATTTGAACAAAAACCAAAGTTCGTTACCCAAAGAACTATTATGCAATATGTACGCGTTAGAGGCCTGTAATTTTTATTTTATTTTTATGTTCTTTGTATGTTGTATGAGTGATAATGTTAGGTCCATTAACATGATCTAAACATCATGACGACACTGCTTGGCAACACCGCATGAGAGCACGCTGTGACAACATTGCATGACAATACAAAACGACATCATTGCATAGCCAAACCAGTTCAGGCCCAATTAGTTAGGGGCTAGGTTGTGTTACCAGAAAATATTGTCGGGCGGTGCTATTATGCGGTGTTGTCATATTGTGCTGTCATGCAGTAATGACATGCGGTTTAAGTCATGTCAATGGACCTAAAATCATTATCCATAAATAACATATTAACAAAATAAAAACGAAAAATAAAATATATATAAACCACACATATTCCATAATAACTCTTTGGGTAACGAACTTCGGTTTTTGTCTACATTTAGGTAAATATGTTCTTTTTACACGTTTGGCTATTAAACTTGTTTGACATGTTCATAATAGGTGATATCACCAATAATTATCAATAATATTATCCTATTTTAAACAGGTCAAACAAGTTTATTCGTCAAGTGTGTACATATAAATTTTGATTACTTAAATATGGACAAAAACCAAAATCTATTGATTCTTGGATCCTTAACCTTAATAAAAATAACCATGGACATGTTTGGTAAAAGTAATTATTAGTTGCTAGCTTGTAGCTCGTAGCAGATAGTTGGCAAAAGTAGTAGAAGCTTTTGAAGTATATAAAATTATGTAAAAAGACAATTGTTTTTAAAAAAAATAAATATATAAATATATTTTTAAGGCCAATTTTGGAAATTGATTTAAAAAGCTCGATAGCGTTTTGTTAAAGACTCGTACTGTCAGGGCCGGTCCAGACGGTGGGCAACCCAGATGATCGCTTAGGGCCCACGTCTCTAGCGGGCCCAAATTTTATGGTATATATATATATATATATATATATATATATATATATATATATATATATTATTTCATAAATGATTGTTAGGGCCTAAAGTTTGTTCAAACTCAAATTAGCTCAAAAGATAAATAATTTGGATTGATTGTTATTGCTAATTGAATACGTCTATAATAAAGAATAAATAATATTTTTTTTAATCTTTATTATATTTGTTTTTTAGGGGCCATTTTTTTTTGCCCCAGGCCCCATATACATTTGGACCGACCCTGCGTACTATAAACCAAATCTTTTTGTTTAAGCTAGAACGTTTTGCTGATAAGTAGAGACTGCTAAACATGTGTGACAAACACGTCCTATATTTTTTCCTTTTTAAAACAACTTAAATACTTTTATTTTTATGTTTTCTCCTTTGGAAGCATGAAAAAACATAAAGGAACAATTTTCCTAGAATTTCACTTCCAGTCCCTCAAAGTTTCCCTTCCTATATAAGCCCATCGTTTCCACCTTTGCCATTTACCACCTTCGGCTACATCCTCGAAAACTATTTTTTATAATTCCAAAAGTACCCTTCCAAATTCCAATTTCATAAACCCTAGCCAAGATTTTTGTTTAAATGGAATCGTTGAGTAGCAAGAAACGAGTTTGGTTCGACTCGGACGAGTCCGAATGCAACTCCGTCAAGGCGCAGAGAACCAGAGACGATCTTCTCGACGTTCTCGACGATTCAGATTCAGACCTTGAGTCGTTCATGAAGAGCTTCGAAAACGAAATATCTAAACTTCCGGAATCTTTCGCCGACTGTGATTCCTTGTCCGGCGAGTCCCGGCCGGATCTCGGATTTCTTTTCGAGGCGTCGGATGACGAACTCGGATTACCTCCTACTGACCTAACCCCGGTTGAGTCGGAGAAGATCGGAGTTTCTGTTGAAGTTGGTGAAGTATGGGATCAGATATCTAGCTACGACTCGTTCGAGTATGGATTTGGTTACGCCGGCGGAGATGCTACTGTTAGTGCCGCCTACAACGGCGGCGAATATGTAGCGTTAGACGGGCTTTTTGATTATACAGATGTAGGTTTTAGATCGTCAGAACTGGAACTGCCACCGCAGCCGGAAACTATGCCGTCTCAGTGAATAGTTAGGGTTTTGAGTTATATCCGCTGGAATATTGTAAAGCTCTTCCATTTTTTTTTTTTTAGTTTTTATGGAAAAATTGAAATGGTATATTATAATTTATATGCAATGATTTTGTCGATGACTACTTAAACTATTAGTACAAAATGATTAAAACTCAGTAAAAAGTATATAATTATTTAAAAATACAAAGGGGTTAATTATATTTACTTGATATGGATCCCTTGTGAAAAATATGCTTTGTTAACAACTCTATGACATTAGCAAGAGAAGTGTTAGACATATCACTAATTAGTCAAATACTTAACAAAAACATTGCCAAATGTAACGAAATAGTTTAGTCATTAGTTCGTTGGTATCAATGACATTTTGTGTGTGTGTGTGTGTTTTTTTTTTTTTTTTTTTTTTTTTTGCTACATCTTAGGAAATTAAGTTACTAGTTGTAGAAAACGAGGAGTTAAATATGCCTAACAAAACCAACAAATATGTTACCCACAAGACAACAAAAAAGTTGATAGTCCATATGTTTGGACACTATAAACATACATTACGAACAGGAGTATAATAACAAAAGGTTTTGGGCCCACTGACTGGGCCGGCCCAAACGTAAGGCTACCTGGGTACCTGGGCCACAATCCAGGGCAACATATAGCACATGGGGAATCAATTTTCAAACAGCTGTAATGGATGTATTATTTTTTGGACCCCAAAGTTTGATATAATTTTGATTTCAATCGATCTAAAGTTTTTTGAAGCATTTTGATTCTTCTGATTTTTTTTCCCTTCTAAACCAGATTTAATGAGGACTACATGTGGACCTATTTTCTTGCACGAGTTTCTCCTTTGCATATTGAGACTATGATAGGAAAAAAACTTTTAGGTGAGTAAGTACGTAACAAAAATTATGTAATAATCCAAAATCGGTTATTGCATACTTAATGGATAATGAGGTGATAAACAGGTGATGCATTAGCATTTCAGGGCTAATTTTAGGGGAAGCTGTCACAATAATGTCATCGACATAGAACAATAAAATGTGATCTGTAAACCTTTTGCCATATTAATAAACTAGGTGTAAAACTCATGTATTACATGAGTTCATTTAAAAGAAAAAAATTAAATATGAAATTTTAAACATTTAAAAGTTTGAATTTATAAGAAAATTAGAAAAATATTGAAATATTGAAATTAATGTGTTTTATTTCTTTTTTAAATTTAAACCAAATAATTTAGATAAATAAACAAAAGAAACTAATTTCAATAAGAATTAGTGGGCCCAAAAAACCATTTAAATATTATGTGGCTGAGGGGGTGGTGCCTCTTTTTCTTTATTATAATTATTACATTTAAAAATTATGTGTTAATAAAATAAAAAAACCATAAAATGCCATATAAAAAAATTTTAATTGAAAATAACCAGAAAATAACATGTACCAAAATCAATAAGAATATAACATGTGACAAAAAAATTTCATTATTGAAATAGTTTGTTGAAAAATTCCTCAAGAGAATAATGCTATAAAACATAAGAATCAAATCATTCAATGATTAGATGTTTAAAATAGTAACCCAACCCACTCCATAGTTATAAACCGGCCTAATTAAAACCCAGTCCGTTATTATAACTTCAACCCCACGCCACTTCGTCACTACACGCGCCTCGCTTCACTTTAAATCTTACCGCGTGTATTCCGCACAATACTCTACGCGCGTGACAACAACTCCACTCATTACACTCCAAACTGACTCAAAGAAGACGAAGTCGTGGGATTGCGATTCATTCTGTTATTCATAACTCTTTCTCCAACTTCCATGTTTCCGATTATCTTAACCACAAGTTCTTTCGTCATTCTGATCAATATCGTATATCTACGGAGTTGCAACTGTAGAGTGTAGACGGCACATTGAATGAAGATGAAAGTTTTCGTAAAAACATTGAAGGGGACTCACTTTGAAATCGAAGTGAAACTCGAAGACACGGTACGTTTTGTTTAATTTTGTCAAATTCTATACGTGATTGGTCAGATTTTAGGGATTTAAGCTTGCATTTGATCAGAAACTTAACTCGAGAAAGCTTAATTTATGTTTCTTGCGTATTGGATCGCAACATTTAGTGTTGTTTGGGCTTGAATTGGAGAGTTCGTAACTACGTTGTGTTTCTATCCTTGAAAATCTCAGTTTACTGATTGGGAATTGCAGTCGATCGATCATGCTTGAGCATGTTTAAATTACAATGCCGTTAGTCTCAATCACTGTAATTACAGACCTAGTTCTATCGTAAATGGCTGTCATCTCATTGAAAATGAATGTGAAACCGGTTCTGATGCATGTGATCTTGCTTTTTGAATTGTACATTTAGTTATATGTTCTGATTTGATCAATCTAATTTGGGGAATGAATTAAGGAAAATTCTGTGGAATAAAGGCAATCGAACAAATGGATTTGGAGTTTTCAATTCTTTTCAAATTCCATGTATGTTGATTGAAAACTAATTTTGTTGTAGCAGGTTGATGATGTGAAGAAAAATATAGAAAGTGTTCAGGGATCAGATGTATATCCAGCTGCACAACAGATGCTTATCCATCAGGGAAAAGTGTTGGAAGATAGCACCACCATGGAAGAAAACAAAGTTTCTGAAAACAGTTTTATGGTCATCATGTTGTCGAAGGTAAACTTCCATTGTTACACCTCTATTAATTCACGTTTACTCAATGATTTAACTGAATGCAGAACAAGAGCTCCGCGGCTGATCCTCTTCCCACTCCGGTGGCGGCAGCGGCGCCACCCCCTCAGCCGCCGTCATCCACCACAAACACAAATCCGCCTCCATCTGAGATTCTATACAACGAAGCAGCATCACATATGGTTGAAGGAATCAATGTACCAGGCACAATCCACCGGATTCTTCAAATGGGTGGAGGTTCATGGGACAGAATCACAGTCGTCCGTGCCCTTCATGCTGCTTTCAACAACCCAGAAAGAGCCGTTGAATATCTCTATTCCGGCATACCCGACTCACCAGATCTTCCTCTAGTCGCCGGTGCCGGAGCTCCACCACCGCCAGCTGTAAACCCACCACCACCAACTGGATCAAATGCAAATTCGTTGAATCTCTTCCCTCAAGGTCTTCCCGGTGGTGCAGGTGCAGGTGGAAATCTTGATTTCCTGCGCGACTGTCCAAATTTTCAAGCGTTGCGATCAAGGGTGCTAGCTGATCCACAAATCTTACAGGTAATTAATTTTAATTAATTAATTAATATAATAATATATATTTTTTGTTATTTCTTGGTGTTCCTTATCTAAAAGTACGATTGCTATTCTTGATAGCCGATGCTCCAAGAATTGAGGAGCCAAAATCCGGAGCTGGCTGGACTACTTCATGAGCGCCAAGCTGATATCATTAGCATGATCTTTGAATCTGTTGAAGGAGGAGAGTATGTGTTTTTACTGTTTTACCCCTCGATCTCATCACCTTCTTCTTTTTAGTCTTTGTTTTTTACTAATAATTACGTAACTATTTTTATCCCAAAATATTATAATTATATATCAGGGATGAATTGGGATGGGGACATCCGGCGTCAGGGGTATCTGAGTCTTTTACACTTACAAGTGAGAACATGGACGCAATTGACCGTGTAAGTACTTCAATTCCACCCATTAATGAACTGCAAATTTCATGCATATATTTTGGAAAAATGTAGGAAATGGATTTATTTATTTGTGCGTGTGTGTGTGTGTGTGTGTTTTCAGCTTGAAGCAATGGGATTTAACAGGTCGGTGGTATGTGATGTGTTTTTGGCTTGCGATAAGAGTGAAGAGGTGGTTGCCAATTACCTGCTGGACCACATGAATGAGTTTGAACATTGAAGAATAGTAATGTGGAAAAATTGGTCCTTTTTTCTTGATTGATTGAAGTGTATATACTATATAGCACTTGGCTGTTATCTTTTCAACTTTTAGTGTGTATGTTTTGGTGAATATGCATGGGAGACTAAAATTGAAGTGTAAATAAGATAGTCTTTTTTCTTGTTACTTTTGTATTTGTGTTCCTGTTGGATATTATGATAAAATGTCATTTTGGAAATGGTTCTAAAAAATATTCTGACATCTTTGATTATTCAAGTGTAACTATATGTTTTGTCGAATACTTTGTGAAATGTTATGCTTTTACGAAGCGTGGGAAATTTTGATTACCTAATTTTGTGTTATCTTTCATATTGTTGTTAGCTGTATGTATGTGTGTGTGATGTATTAGTTTTGCATTGATGTTTGGCCCATGTATTGTATAGCTAGCCCAATTATATTTAGCCCCTTAACTATGTTTTGTATAAGCAACTTACTGTATACATGAAAAATAAAATAAAATATAAACTTTGTGCGAAAGAGACCAAAGTTATGAAAAAAAAAAATCATCAATTCAAGGAAATATAACACACATATTTGACCATTTAATTTGATATTATATATATGTGGATTTATGTTTTGAATGATATATATTCTTTGTTTGACTTTACCTAATATGAAATCATATCCCCATGAATATTGTATTGGAATTTGTGGTAAAAGTAGTCATGCGATACACATGAGGGGATGAAGACGCATGTTGCATACCAAAAAGAGTAGAATATTCCCTCATCAAAATCAAAATCAAAATCAAATGAATATTTTCTTTTACCTATAATAGAATGATGATTAGTGCATCTTATACGTACTTTTTCTATTCGACTAGTAGTTGACTATACAATTGCCAAAGTGTTTATCTTTTATAATGGTGTTAATGCACTTAGTCTATGCAGTTATCAATAACAAACATGTTTAGAAACCGTCTGTTATTCATGGGGCAGTTGGCTTAAAAGTAAAAAACCCACCTCATAATCTCAACACCACTCATACTCATACTCTTGACTCTTTGGCCCACACCACCATTTTCTTTTCTTTTCTTTTCTTTTAGACATAAACACAAACAGGTTGCGTGCATGATCATGATCGAGGAGATGGCAGCTAGTACTCTGTCTGTAAACAGTCTTTATCTTAAAAAATGGTGGACCAGAGAAGGTCCAAACGGATTGACTACATACTAATAGATAGAATACACGATGTTTGGCACGTGGGTGTCGTATCATTATCAATATGAACATGAACATTTCTTGGCTACCCAATGTCGTCTATATCACACATGTTTTTGGAGTTGAAACCGACAAAAGCTTGTGGTGTCATCTCACTACTTCATCAAGAAACAAAGCTTTATGTAAATGCCACTAGCTCTCATGAAGTTTTTCCCCATGAAGTTTTTGAATTTGAAATTTCCATAATTAGAATATAATGAGTCGAAAGGCCAATTCTGAATACGAAAAAATTGGATTTGACATTCAAGAATCATGAATAGACAAGGGCAAAAAGATTTAACAAAGTGCATTATTGTGGCTCGGCTCTTTATGTTGTAGGGTTGTCATTTGATATGTTAGACATTAAAACTCATCTTTTTGAAGAATGCCTAATTCATACACATACATTGCTTTAATTCCTTTACGCCTACAAATTGGCCACAAGATAGGTGAAAAATGTTAATGGTTTAATGTCTAAAAAGCTTTATAATAATCAAGAATAAAGATAAATTTGCGGACCACATTCATTAATATGATAATCAAGAAACAAAAAAGAAAAACTTTACCTAGGCTTGTTGCAATTTAGATTTTATATGATTGATTACTTATATAATAATAATAATAATAATAATAATAACTTTTACCTCAAAAAGATGAGTGTCTAGTCAAACTAACATTTCCAATTGATACTAGTCATGTTGTAAATAATACTCTGAATGTATGAAAAATTATGGACCCATCCATCAGTACATGTATGTACTACACTACTACTACCTTTCCTACCTGCACTTTTGGACAAAAAAAATTAATTGTGTTTTTTGAAGCACTTGTAATAGCTCCAAAATACATTATTGCCACACATTGTTAATGTACAAAAGAATGGGTCCAAATAGATACACTTGGTTTGCCACTTTGGCTATCAAAAATTAGGTCTGTATGCTCTGGAACCTAGTTCTAATTAACACCCCCGGTTGAAAAAAGTGAACCCTAATATCCGGAAGACATGAAAAATCCTTTTTGTCTTCTTGGTTTGGATCATAATTTTTGGATCAACTTGAACCAAAAAGCAATTAGGGGGACTTGTCCTCAATTTCTTCTAATTTTGTTTTCACCCAAGATTCAAACTATAGGTCTAGTTTGGACTTCAAATCTATCATTTTTCGTTACTGGTTCTTATCTTTGGTTCAAGTGTTCTTTGTTCCGCTGCAAAAGTCGTGTTTGAGGTCCAAATACGCATCAATTTTGTTGTTGTTTTACAACAAAAGTATTTTTCTTTGACTATAATTTTGAATTTAAATATTCAATTATTATGTGTATTCATTATATTTTAATAATTATTTGTAATTTTTATAAAAATTGTAATTCATATGATTTTAAATTTGGTATCCAATTTGTTTATTCTAATAATCAACATAAATGATGCACTTTATGTAATTAAAGTTTTTAACTTTAATTATTCAGTTTGTTAAAAATCTTAATTTATAATTTGATTAATTAAGTATTCCTTTTGTTTATAATTTTTTTTTTTTTTTTAAAGTCTTTTACCAGGTCCATGCGCAACCCCACAAGATGATGCACCAAATAGACGTACTTTCAATAAATCCGAAACAACGATTTAGAACATGAATAGAGATGTGTTCATTTTTATTTTTGTAAATAACAAAATAATTAATCTTGATTTTAAAGTTCAGAAGTAGTTTATTAACTTTTTAAAAGTTATGTAGAGTTACTTTTTCTACCACATGATACTAAACGGTTAATTATGGTTAGAATTACAGTTTTTATGTCTTTCTTTCATAATTTTTTTCTTTCTTTTTGTAATACCATCCGGTTAAAAAAGTTAGAAACACCATTAATGTTACCAAAAAAAAATCATATGAAAATCTCTACACACCATGTGCAATCCGTACTAAGAATCTAATCATATAGCATTTTACTATCTTTTAACTTCTACCAATCACAGTAATTCTAGGTTTCTAAGTTCTAACCCTATTATTTCTGTCCATATGTTACAACAAAATAGTACGAAAAAGAAAAGTTACAACAAGTAGTAGATAATCATAATAGTAAGTCTGGTATACCCTTTACTCTATATAAAGAAACTTCATATCACCAATCAAAAAACCACACACTAAACAAAATATGGAAGACACGAATTCCAAAACACGACGCCATGGTCAAAGAGTCAAGGGTGGTATCATCACCATGCCCTTCATCTTCGGTACGTTCATTTCATGTTATCCAATTTTCTTTATATAATAAATATACTTTTCTTTTTCAATTTATAATTACTTTTATTTTTCGTAGCAAACGAGGTTGGCGAGAAGTTAGCCGTGGTTGGATTTCAAACAAACATGATTAGCTACTTAACACAACAACTTCATATGCCGATGACTAAAGCCGCCAACACTCTCACCAACTTTAGCGGCACCGGAAGTTTGACACCGTTGCTCGGAGCTTTCATGGCGGATTCTTTCGCCGGCCGCTTTTGGACCATCACCGTCGCCTCCATCATTTACCAAATAGTACGTAATTAAGCCCAATAAGGTCGATCGTTGTATTTAACTACTTATCCTAAATTATTAGATCTTATTCGACGACTTTTTTTTTTCTTGTTATATATAATATAGGGAATGATATCTTTGACATTATCAGCGGTGTTACCCAAGTTAAAACCGCCGCCATGTAAAACCGGTGAAAACTGTGAAGAACCCAACACGGGTCAACTCGCGATTCTTTACATATCGCTTTTCTTAACGGCGGTTGGGTCAGGCGGAATCCGGCCGTGTGTGGTGGCGTTTGGGGCGGATCAGTTTGATGAAACGGATGAGAAACAGAAGACGAACACGTGGAAGTTTTTTAACTGGTATTATTTCTGCATGGGGGCGTCGATGTTAGTGGCTGTGACTGTGATTGTTTATATTCAAGATAATGTTGGGTGGGGTTGGGGTCTTGGGATTCCTTCCATGGCTATGGTGTTTTCGATTACTACTTTTGTGATCGGGTATCCGCTGTATAGGAATATGGTTCCTGCGGGTAGCCCGTTTACCCGGTTGATACAAGTGTGTGTTGCTGCTTATAGAAAGAGAAACTTGGATATGGTTTCTGATGATTTGCTTTATGAGAATGAAGAACTTGATGCCTCCATTTCGGTTTCTGGGAAGCTTCTTCACACTAAACAAATGAAGTAAGCCATGTTCATGTTTCCTTTTCTTTTTAATTAAGTTTTGTTTATAAATTAATGATGAAGAAATATTTAAAAAATGGCCTCACCTTTAGGGTAAATTTATATGAAATGAAGAAGTGTGTGTATGTCATTCACTTTCTATATCAAGTCGTTATTAAGTATTAGGTAAAAAAGACATTTATATATAGCTTACTGGATTATATTCACAAAATAAAAAAATAAAATAAAATAAAATAGACACGTATATACCTTACTGGATTAATTATAATAAATAGTCCAGTGGACACTTATATATAACTTAGGCCCCGTTTGATACGCATCTTTCCAGGTCCAAACAGATCTTTCTGGTTGAATGGACCGGAAAGACTGTTTGATTTCCATAAAAGAAGGGGTCTTTCCCGGTAAGATTTGTCTTTCCCAGAAAGCCCCAAAATCATATTTTTCTGGCTGAATGGGCTGGAAAGACAATTATACACCAAACTCCGCCTCTTTCTTTCTTTATTGGATTATTAATTTTTTTAAATAACTTTTTTTTAATTTATTTTTTATTGAATTATTAATTTTTTTCATCATTCAGCACAGTCAATCAGATGTACAATCAAACATCATAGTTTCTTTCCCAGTCAGAAAACTTTCCCAGACAGCACTTTTCCAGACAGAAACTATCAAACAGGACCTTACTCAACTCGATTATGTCTATTAAGTAAAAAATAAATAGTGTGATGGAGTCTCTTTATTTAAAAAAAACAACCACATATTTTTGAAAATTTAAAAAACAAGTTAACAAAATAAGGAACAAAGAACAATCGGCACCAATGAAAGATAAATTTGTTTGCTATTTTTGGCAAGGGAGTGTTCTTTTTTTTTTCTTTATATTGATTGTTTTGGAATCAAGAATATTCTAAATGGGATTCTTTAAAGAAAAAAGGTAAAATGACATTGAAAGTATTAGGCCATCTCTTAATCAGTGATTTAGGTAAAACACATGTGTTAACTAAGCACATGATGGGTATTATGCAACTTTATGAATTTGAAATGACAATTATATCCTTTGATTATCAAGTCTTTATGAACAATGTTAGGGGTATAATGTGGATTAACACAAAGCCTTATGTATGGATCTCTTTTGTTAGTTACCCATTGATAAGCATATGTCACGTGTTTCTTCTACCTTTTCTTCTTTTCTAAAGTTTCAAGAAATAAAAGTTGCATTTTGACTTTTGGAGTCAAACTGTTTGACCAAAAAAGTCAAACTGTAACTTTTGTGCACAAAATCAAGATTGGAACTTAATTCAAATGACCATTTTGCCCTTTTAACATTTCAGATTCCTAGACAAAGCTGCGATTGTGACCAAAGAAGACAATGCAAAAGGGCAATCAAAACCTAACTTATGGCGATTGAACACAGTCCATCGAGTGGAAGAACTAAAGTCACTGATCAGAATGGGGCCAATTTGGGCAGCTGGGATTCTTCTAATCACAGCTTACGCACAACAAAACACTTTCTCCCTCCAACAAGCCAAAACAATGAACAGAACCCTAACAAAATCCTTCCAAATCCCAGCAGGATCCATGACTGTTTTTACCTTAACCTCAATGCTAACCACAATCGTCTTCTACGATCGTGTTTTCGTCCCCATCGCACGTAAACTCACAGGGCTAGAACGGGGGATTTCGTTTCTTAGCAGAATGGCAATCGGATTCTGTATATCGGTTCTTGCCACATTGGTCGCCGGATTCATTGAAATAAAGCGCAAAAATGCAGCTTTTGATCATGGGTTGATAGACAAACCTCATGAAACGATTCCAATTTCTGTTTTCTGGTTAGTACCTCAGTACTCCCTTCATGGTATCGCTGAAGCTTTTATGTCAATTGGCCATCTGGAATTTTTCTACGATCAGGCTCCGGAGAGCATGAGAAGCACTGCAATCGGAGTGTTTTGGATGGCGATTGCTGCTGGAAATTACCTAAGTACCCTTCTCGTCACCATGGTGCATAAATTGAGTGCAGGTCACGATGGATCAAACTGGCTGCCGGATGATAATCTGAATAAAGGAAGGTTGGAATATTTTTACTGGTTGATAACATTGCTTCAAGCTCTTAACCTGGTTTACTACTTGTTTTGTGCGAAATTCTATACTTTGAAGCCTATTGAGGTTGCTCATAGTCGTAGGGTTGATGAAGATGATACTAATGGTAAAGGTGATGGGGTTGAGCTAGTAATGAATGTCTAAATGAATCCCCATTGTTGATATGCACTTCCTTTTGTTGAAGTACGAACTACGATGCATTAGAAGGTGTATGTAGTGACTAAAATTAAAAGGGCGTATATGTAATTCCAAGTGTTAAAGTTGCTTATGTTATTAATATTTAACCAAAAATGGATATTGCATATACAATGTAAAAGATAAAAAGATAAATTCACCGAATTAACATATGATTATTTTATAAAATACTCTTAAAATTTTGATTTTTTGGTCATTATTAAATCAAAATTTGGTGTGGAATACTATGGGTCGAATCATAGTCTTACTATCACTTTCTGCCATGGGCCAAATTATGGTTTTTCCTTGCAATGCCGAGGGTCAAATCCTGGTTTTACATACAAATTGCCATGGGCCAGATCCTCGTCTTCCATTCAAGTATCACAAAGACAATTAGCATCCTACATAACATATCCTAGTGGGTCGGCATTGGTGTCTTCGACCTACGGGTACAGTAAGGAGACTTACTTAAATTGAAGAACTCTGAAAAACTGCGATACGATCCCTTTCGCACTGCTTGCTCCCGTGAATCCGCTAATTATCACAAGCAGGTAAAACCTTAATCAACAATCCAAAATCCTCAAGTTTGACCCAAAGTCAAACTTGGTCAAAAAGTCAACGGTCAACGGAAGTCAACAAAAGTCAAAGTCCAAGGCTGTTGAGTACGCCCAACGTAAGAGACTTGTCCTCACTCCTCCATTAAGCACTTTATCCATTAAGGCCTTTTGTCCAGAGCTCAAATCTAGACTCAAAACATCAACTTGAGTCATAGAGTTTCCACCTTTATGACTTTCCATGGCTAGAAAAGGTCCAAAAGCTAAAACCCTGACTTATTAATCCATTAAGACATCATAACTCATGCATGGAAGGGATAGAAGGACCAAGATCACATTTTTATGGTTCCTAATAGCTCCATAATGGATAAAGTTTCCAACTTTATCCATTAGGATGGCCCCCAACAACCAAGATCTACTCTTTAAGTCTCAAAGGGACCAAAAGTACATCTCTCTCAACTTAATCCATTAAGTCTAAGTCTCCAACCTTCAGATCTGAATCAATATGATGTTTAGATGGATAAAGTTTCCAACTTTATCCATAACAAGGTCACAAACTTTTAAGATCTAAACTTTATGCACTAAAGTGACCAAAAGCTCATAACACCTAAAACTAGCAAGATCTAACAAATGCATCATCAATATTCAAGCTTTATGCCTCCAAAAGAAAGATCAAGATGAACAAGGTCTGGATCTACAAGCTCCAATACAACCAACACTTCTCCGATGAGCTCCTTCTTCTCCAAGGTGTACTAAGAACACTCCAAAGCACTTAAAAAAACACCTTATTTTGCTCATAAGGCTCAAACTAGGGTTAGGGTTTCAAGGGAGGACATTGGAGAAGTGGAGGCTGAGAATGGAAAGGGTTTGGGGAAGTTAAGGAGCTTAAATAGGGCTCAAAACCCTAAAATTAGGGTTTGGGTTCTGATCGCGTACGCCCAGTGTACTCCTAGTAGTTGAATCTTCGTGATCATCCTTGCCTAGTACGCCCAGCGTACACCATGTACACCCAGTATACTAGGCTAAACCCAAAACCCTCCTAACTTCTAACAGTCATAACTTCTTCGTTCCAACTCTGTTTTCGACGATCTTTATATCCACATAAAGGTATTGAAGAGCCCCACAATATTATCTAGATATCTTGGACTAAAAACTTCTCGAACAAAAATACATATTTCATGCAAGACCATGGCATATGACTTTCCCTTTTCTACCATTCGGCCCAGAACGCAATTCAAAGGTCAAGGTCTCGTAACCATCATTGCCTCCTTCCAAAAGGGTCTAAACATTACCTCCTCAAGGCCCAAAGCCTTTACACAATCGACTTCCGGCCCACGACCCTGAAGTAAAAAATGACAGAACCAGGATGTACAGGGTCACTGCCCCGAATTAAGAAACGACTCAAAACAAAGTGTTACAAATCATTGACCAAAAAGGATATGATCTCCACCAACAATCCTATATGCACCAATATCATATGTAGGTTCATCAACAATAGCATTCTTACATTTATGTTGGGTAACATACTTGAAGCATCAGAATTTGAAACCATCATAGTTGCAACTTCATTTCTTCCACTTTTCGGTCCCCTTCCACTTGATCGATTTCCATCAGGCCCATTGTCATTTGGACGATATGCACAAATATTGACAGCATACAACATAATTATATGTGGATACACATAAATATATAAATAGTCCTTTAACTCCCCATTTTCATTTATATAGATAATAGTGGTGATCGTGGGATATTTATAATATAACTTGATTTGATTATTCACTGCACATATTTTTCTAGCCACTAAATCAATCAACCCAATATGGTTATACCCAAATGCAAATTCAAAGTGAGATTATATAACATTTATTGGGATGTACTCCAAAACGCCATTAACATTCTCTCACTCCCCTCTATTACAAAAAGATACTATAATACTATCCTTTATACATAAATGGTTCAAAGAAATAGGAAGATAAAGATGATACAATAGAATGAGAGAAGGAACTTGGAATACTTATGTATTTATTAGGAAGATATTTGATAAAAAAAACAATCACATCATAACAATATGTATCCCTTGAACCATTCGTGAAGGAGATTCATATTTTTTATTTTAACAAACAACAGTTTTCCTAAAAAAATATTAGATAATCTTTTTTTCTTACAATTGCCAAACAAAAATACTCAATCTTACAAGTAACAATATTACATAAAAACATTAAATTGTTTAGAAGAATATATGAAAGAGTTTGTATCGTCATCCAAAAACATGTGGTCTGATAGTAGCAACGGGTGGTCAGACACATAAGAGTGAAATGCATGAATATCTGCCATAATAATATGGGCAAGTGGTGTTTGTATATCTACATGAGGGACGTTAAGGGGGCAAAGTAGACAGTTGCACAGGAGCCAACTTTTTTTATTATATATTTTTATTTAAAAATAAAAACTTATAATAACGATAAGGGACCTTTTTTGCTGGCTCGTCCTGGGCCTTTGAGAATATTTAATTCCTCAGGACCGGCCCTGTATATGTAACGCAACATCTGTTTTTTAAAACAATGAAAATTTTCCAACACCTTCTCATAGCCCTCTCATTGTCAAGCTTTAAATAGGGAAATCGATGATATACATGTTTAGCAGATGACTTGGCAGTAAGTGTGACAACCCGATATTTCAAGTCAATATAATGACCTAAAGTCAAGTATGGTAATCTATTTTTGATATAATAAATATAGCGTCAAAAATGAAATGTTCAAAAGTCTCAATTGGGTTGCATAAAATGATAGATATCGTGTCAAGGTTTTCAGAAATATAAAGAACACTCAAATCCGAGTTATAACGAAGAAGTTATGACTAATCAAAGATCCGCATCAAAACTGGTAAAACAATGTTAAGCGTAAAAAGCGAAATCTCAATAAAATACTTTTTGGCCTTAGGTATCTAAATGAAAGTCGTAGATCTC